TAACTTTAAAATCTTCCCATTTCAAAAGTAGGTAGATTAAGAATAGTGAAAGATGATATGAATTATTGAGGGTATGATGGGAAAATAGTGGAATAATGTGGTGGAATGTAGGATAAATCCAAAAAAAATAGTTGTAATAGTGTATTATTTTGAGAATTATTGAGGGTATGATGGGAAGATTTAGAAATGAGAAGATTTTTGTGTTACGGACGAAAAAGGAAAGTGAGAAGATTTTTAAGTTACGGAGGGAGTATGGATAATAGAGTGTGAAGCATAAATTTGCCCTCATTCAATGTAGTTTTTGTAAGTCAAGAATTCAGGAAGTTATGCCTTTTCAGTTAAGTATTCAAGCATAAAGTAAAATAAAGTAGTGAACGCTATCTTGAAATGTACAGTAGTAACCTAAGTAGCACGAAAACGAGAAGTGGGAAATGCCGGAATCACCATTTACAAAAAAACCGGAAAAAAATGTGGGGGAAACGCGTAAATAAAAATATATAGGGACTTTTTATAAATTAATAAATATGTATACATATGTGTGTGTATACAGAGTGTACATTATATAGATATTTAACCCGTATGAATATCAACTTACACCTTAGATATTTATAGTAGCAAATCCAGAACTCCCTTATTACTTACTCTGTATACATTTAAATGTTTTAAATAATTAATACGGAGTAATTAATTAGGGGACACTTCCATCATTTGCAATGGAGCCAAAGCCTCACTATTTTTTGGCTTGGGAATATGATGCAATAAAGAAAATGGCTCACTTAACTGTCTGCATTTATTTGTTATGAAGCAGTCCGTGCAAATTTCGATGCGATTTTTATTATGGGTCATCCGGAAATAGTCTCTATGTACTTTAATATAGGGGTAAGACTGCGTACATCTAATCCCGCTTACCCCACCGAAGGTGGGAGCCTTTGCGGCACTGGGGTAATGATGATGCATTAATTAGGGGACAGCTGGACGTCATCACTAAACTCCTCTAGATAAGTCTCCACTCTCCCTCAGTACTCACACTGTTCGTACGATTTATTTACAAAGCCAACCCTCCGACTCAGGAGATCTCTGTTTTCGAGAAGCCAAACAAGACGCGAAGTACGCAGAGACGGCCGGCTTGAAATGGCAGCGAATACAGTCCCCACTGAAGACGATGTGCGCAGATGCTGAGAAGATGTTCACTGAAGGCGGCCAGCTGTTGAAGACGAAGACTGCACATACTCCGCCGAATCCTCATCATCATGCATCATTTACCCCAATGCCAGAAGGCTCCCACCTACGGTGGGGTAAGGGGGGTCGGATGTACGCGGTCTTACACTACCCCTGCACTAGAGGACAAAGAGGTTGTTTGACTTGTTTCTGGATGACCCAATCGTATCGAAAATTGCATGGATTGACTACAGCTTCATAACAAAGAAGTGCAGACAGTTTAGTGAACCATTTTGCTTTATTCCGTCATACTCTACCGAATCCTAATTTTTGAATTCTATAGATTTTATTTTTGGAAATGTGTTTCCAAACTTCCAAAATTCAGAAACAGGCCCGACACGCGTTTTGGGCGTTTTTGGCGTTTGGAAACTGTAGTACGTTTTAGATACGGGAAACGCAGTCCCATCCATGTTTCTGTTCGTTCTAGGTTGCAACTAAATTAAGTGAAATGAAAATTGTGAAAACATACATTTCGGAAGAAAGTAAAAATATGATAGATCAAGCGCATTTCAGATTTTCTTGAATTTGATGCCATCTTGTTTTTTTTTTCTCATTATTATCAGATGCAAAATATCAACAATCATGCTAGAGATGGATCGAATATTGAGGCCTGGTGGGCGAGCATATATTCGTGACTCTGTGGCAGTTATGGATGAACTTGAGGAGGTTGGCAAAGCAATGGGCTGGCATGTTACATTACGAGACACATCAGAAGGCCCTCATGCAAACTACAGGATCTTGACATGTGAGAAACGCCTCCTGCGATCCTGAAGTAGATTGCAGTAAAGCATAATGGTTATTACAGTCATTGGGACAATTACTGTATTGAAGAAGTATAAAGAAACTAACCATCCAACCCCTATTACCAATTTCTTTCTCATTGATTACTAGGTCGTCGACTGTGGTTTTCATGTTCATGTGGTGCATTGCCTGGCTGCATCAACATTCCATCCACCGTGGATGATCCACGTAATCGTTTTACATTGATTTTTTAGTGCAACGTGTAAAGAGTCTAAAGATTATGTCTTGAATTCTTTTCTGTATCTAGTTACCTAAGCCAAAAAATGATTAGAATTAAAGATAAATCCGTTCCATAAAGGTTAGAAAAATCATGGGCAGTCATCAGTGTTTACATGAACAAGTGTTTTTTTGGTGATACTCCAAATCTCCAATGTTTATATAAAGATTTGGTAATACTGCTTATATTATTTATCTCCTACTTTCTTATTTTTTGCTTCTTTCAAGTACATGTTTACCAAATCTTCAGATAACTCCCCATCCATTTCATTGGAGTTATACATAAAAATATATAATAAGAAAGTAGAAGATATATAAGCAGCATGACCAATTAATTACTTTAAATGGAAAGATGTAATTTTTTTTAAAACAATTAAAAAAGAATGTTTGTGAAGTTCTATAGAATGAAGTAAATAATCGTTTATATTCTCACTACATTCGGGTAAGCCTAGGACTCGCTACATTCCAGTCCACCAGGGGAGAGTATTAGTATAGAGTCGAGCAGTGTTTGCAAATGTTTAAAAAATAGTACTCAGTAATTTACTCCTTTGGCTCTAAAGTCAGCTAAAAGTAGTGTGTTTTAATAATAAATTTTGCTTAGTTTAAGCACATTTAAACTAAAAGTTTCAAGTTGGGATACACATGTTTTTATCATCATTTTCATTTCATTTTCATTTACCCCAGTGCCACAAAGGCTCCCATCTACGGTGGGGTAAGGGGGGTTGAATGTACGCAGTCTTACTCCTGTACTAAAGCACAGAGAGACTATTTCCGGATGACCCATAGTGAAAATCGCGTCCAAAATTGCATGGACTGATTGCTGCTTCGTAATAAAGAAGCGCAGACAGTTTAGTGGGCCATTTTACTTTATTCCATCATATTCTCAAGCCAAAAAAATGAATCTTTGGCTCCATTGCAAATGATGGAAAAAAACATGTTTTTATCTACTTGTTTTTTTGTAAACAAGTCCAACTTTTAGAATAATTTCTTTCGTAAAGAATATTAATTAATCAAGAAGTACCCTTCATTCCAAGCATCATTTGAGCTGTCATCGATATGCTTTTACCGCACAAGAATCCCCTCGCCACAGTAGGCCTGGACTCGGGCCGGGCGGCCCGACCCGGAACCGGCCCGTCCCGGCCACTGTAGCAACCGGCCCGGCCCGGTGGCCCGGTTCACCGGCGGTTCGGGTCGAACCGGCCCGGTGGTTCCCGGTTCCGGGCCCGGGCCTTCCATATGGTGAACCGGCCCGGCCGGTTCGGGCCCGGTCCGGGCCGGAAATAATTTTTTTTTATTTTTTTTTGAAAATTTTTTATGTTTTGGGTTAGATTAGGTATTTTGGTCCATTTGAGGTGGTTTGGGGTGGTTTGGGGTTGAGAAAGAGGGGTAGGGGATTAAATAAAGAAGCCAAAAAACAAAAAAAAAAAAAAAAAAATAGGGCGGGTGGCCCGGCCCGGAACCGGCCCGGTCTGGCCCGGAACCGGCCACCCCCGGTTCGGGCTCGGGCCTCAATATTCTGAACCGAGGCCCGGCCGGGCCCAGGCCCGGCCGGGCCCAGGCCCGAGGCCCGAACCGGCCCGGTTCAGTCCACCCCTACGCCACAGTCGTTCTACTTCACTGCCTCTTATGTGCTTTGGGGCCCCTGCTTCTATTTCTTTTTTGAAGCAGAAGCAGGATTAGAATCAGTTTTCAGAAGTTGGTACCCCCCCAGCTTCTAAAAAAACTGATTCTGAGAGTAAATTAGAGCACTAGAAGTGACTCTGAAATTTCACTCAAACACTCCATCTTCTGCTTCTGCTCCTTGAAGGAGCAGAATCAATTTTGAGAATCAGATCCAAACACCCCCTTTGTTGCCACCTCTCATTTGTATGCCACCGTCACTCTAATATGTTCTCAATTTTAAGTTGGAGTGTATTTTAAACGTGAATAAGTTTAAATGTGAAGAATGAAGACAGTTTTTCTATATATATATATATATATATATAGAGAGAGAGAGAGAGAGAGAGAGAGAGAGAGTAATCTTCCGGTCAGGAATTCCCTGACCGGAGCGCCGTCCGGCCTCCTCCTTTTGGGGGCCTTCTCGGTGGTATTTTTTGCTCAAATTTTTTGTGTATGTTCCTCATCAAGTCTAGTTCATCCATACCAAATTTCAGTAAAAAATTCAATCGGGAAGGTAGTCAAATGATTTTTGCAAGTTAACTGGTCCGGAAAATACATATTCCGGTCGAAGTAAAAAATGTAGCCTCTTGATACAATTACCCTTTCTAGATCTACATTTATAAATAAAAACTAAAAATCATGTCATTTTTGGATTGAAAATTATAACATTGTCGAATGAAATTATGACACCAAAATAATGACATTTTAAAATTGAATAGTAAAATATGAGAAGAAAATGAAAAAAGAGAGAATCAGGCAACATTTTCAAATCGAAAAACATGGCATACATTGCCATTTTGACAAGTGTATAGAGATAAAATGTAGTTAATCTCTAATCAATGTGAAAAATAGTATCCATGATATTTTCTGACAGTAAAAAAAATCTCGATATTTCAAAAAAGTTTGACCTTAAGAAAATAGAATCAAATTTGTAAAAGAAATGAATGGTATAGAAGTAGAGGGGGAAGATTACTTGCAACAAGTTGCAGACCCGACATTGTTTGAGAAATCACAGAAAGGATGATGCAGAGAAGGAGGCACAACAGAAATGGTCTAGCGTCAAAGCAGATAATGTGAAATCATATTTAGAAAATGAATTATAGAACTCATATTTCGGAACTTTCTCTTTGTTCTAGTGCAATTTCTTTTATTTATTCTGTATATTTGAGATTTTTCAATTTTATAAAATTGACAAATACAGACTAACGCATTTCCCCGAAAGCTTACTTATCTCTCCTTGCAAACAGATCATAAAGAACACTTCCAAGTTCCAAAGTACACACAATATCTATGTACAAACCCAAAGCCACAGACGCACACCACACTAAAAGCCAGAGAGCCGATCTGCATTTTGTCTATTAAATTGTGGGTTCTGGACACGTGGAGCCTTGGCAGGTCTTGGATTTACACTGGTTGCTTGTCCTTCAAATTGGCCTACTAAGGATGGCTGAATAACCGGCTGAGCACGGATCTGGGTAGCACCAGAAACCTGCCCACATGCACGCATTACATTGCCTAGCTGCCCGTTCCGCCGCTGATATTCGAACTGAGGCTGCAAGCTTATACTATAGTTGTTATGGCTTCCGGAATGGGATGCACCAAAAAATCTTGATACTTGCGGGCCCACAAGAGAAGAAATGAGCAAGCTTGGATCTTGATTGGGAGACAAAAGCAGATTGTAGGTTTTCTGGAAAGTCTCTGTTATCCTTCTGAGTTGTTTGCTGTTTACACCCCTTGCTGCATTCACTGGCTGTTCAAAAGGATCTTCAATCTGTTAACCAGAATTTCAACTGATTCAGAAGCATATTAGGCTACTTTAAGATCTACAACTAGGCTCAATTTCTAAAAGATGGATATGGTGATAGGCGATTACGATTAGCGGATAGTTATTAGGTAACCATCTCATGTTGACTTCAATGTCCTCCCACCGCCCAGTGTATGGATTAATCCCTTGCTTAGTGGCCCTTGAGTTTAAGTCGCAGAACTGTAGCATCAATAAAGGTTACCATAGCGGCGATGGTCAAAAACACAAAACTTTCTTAACGTGATAAAGAAGTCATCATATACCTTGGCAAGGAATGAGATGAAAAGCCCAGATAGAGAACTCTGGTTACGAACTCTGGGCCAATTATGCACGAACCGGTTAATATTGAACGCACATATTTCCTCTATATTCTTCTCTGCAAGGAGCCTCACACCTGCAAAAGAGATTCCCAAAAAGATATGCATATTGAGCTATAATGCTCTAAGCCTCTAATGAGTCATACAGAGATTTAAAAAGGTAAGATCTACTGCATAACTGACTAGAAGAACTCATGACCTCATAAAGGCATCCAATTTACCACACTAAGGAAAAATGTCATTCTTAATAGGAAAAGATGAATAAACCCCAACAATCGAACTGTTTGATGTGGAGCACCTTTAAGATCATCCGAAATATTTCCGGGGTAAATCTCCTTCAGTGGAGGTAAAATCGGAGGCACACATGTCTGCAAAAAAATATGGTACAGTTAGATCAACTTGACAACTAGCAGGAATTATTTCACTGAATGCAAGTAAAACAAAAATCACCTGAAAATGGAAGATGACGAGCAAGCTGAGAGAATATGAGTTCAGAGATCCACATTTTGAGTCATTGATATTATGCGCCTTTGCCCATTCTTTGACCTTTCAGAAGACAAGGGTTTTAAAACACTTACACAAAGAGGTAAGGTAAATCTATTAAAGCCGTAATGCAAAATGTTATGTAATGTAATCAAATGCATTTGTGATAAAAAAAATTGTGCAGAAATATTTGATTCATTACATTTCAGTATGGGTTGGTCATACCAATAAAACCATGTCACGAAACCGACCATCGATAAAGTTGATCCAGTACATCAATTTTGACTTCATTTGACCAACCCAATTACTTATTGATAAATCGAAGCAGATGTTGTGCTTTCCATGGAACATCAGAATGGGGACTCTTGCGTTTTTTATTAATTTAAAACTATGGTAGCCACCTACAAGATGAAACAATGCTTACAATCAGCTCTTTTTTTTTTGCTTCAAAAGATATAAGAAAATCATTTCGTGGAGGTAAAAGTCAGATTACTTTCCCTGAAACCGAGCCAAGAATAACACACACCACTCTCTGTTCCTTATTATATGTACTTTTATAAAATCTATGCACATTTAATATGTTTCTTCCAAATCCTTCCGTTCTTACTAAATTATGAAAAAAGAATAAGAGAGAATATTAAGTATTTATACTCCACCTAAATGAGGGTATTTTAGGAAAGTTTAAAATATTTTGATTAACTTACCACTACAGACGTTTTCTGAAACTCAGTGTTTTGGACAAAGGAGACAGATAAATAGATACAGTCATACAAATAGCGTATATACCTCTACTTCTCAATGCTTTTAGTACATCTCTAAGTAATTTTTGCTTCTCCTTCTTAGTAGTAGAAGGAGCATTGCCCCCCAACTCAATACATACGTCAAGATCTCCCCATTTTGTGAAGTGATCCGACACAAAGGATCCATATGCTTCCACTGTTGCACCTGTTTGCTTCCACCATACATGCCAAAGCAAACAACATTGTAAATAAATGTAAAAAGTTAAACATAAAGATGCACAGAAACAAATAGAAAGAGGTATGCATGTTTTACTAACAAATACTACCCCGAAGACTATGAATGGTTTGAACAATAGTTTGAAGTTCGCTGATGCCTTGAAATCTCTTAGACCAGTCCTCTTTTGAGGGATTGATTGTGCAAAGAACATTGCGTAGAGTAACCTCCAACAAACCGTTCCCGTTCATTTTATGCGCTGAAAAAAGACAACTTTGTCAAATCTCAAATGTAAAAATAAAATTATCCACACCAAGAGTTGGGTATGTAATTCAAAGCAAGGAGATTTAACCTTTACACATATACTCTAGATTACCAACCGAAAAAACTCCTTGAATCAGAGAACACTTGTGCTACTATTCTACTGTCCAAAAACCCGAAACGAAGAGAAGATCTCAAGATAATGTGTTTTAGGATGTTTTCTTTTGGACTAAAATTTGGTGGTCTGGTCTACTCTGATCTGAACTGGTCTGGTAAACGTTTGATCTATATGTATTTGATATGAAGCAGAATCTAAGCTTGGAAGAAGAGGGGCAGAAGCCCCCGTGGGTTTACCGAAGGCGGGACGGGCTTGAGCCCACCTTCGTGGGCTGGTTGCGGGCTGTTTAATTAATATTTATTATTCCTTTTATTTTGTTTCCTAATTTAATTTGTTTTCTAGTAGGATTTATTTAGGACTTCTATTCTTATTAGAATTAGAGGTTTCCTATTTCTATTTAGTTTCCTAGAATGATTTAATTAGGAGTTCTATTAGAACTAGAGGTTTCCTATTCTATTTAGTTTCCTAGATTAATTTAATTAGGATTCCTATTCTTATTAGGCCTAGAGGGTTATTTATACCCCTTGTATGCTTCATTCTGGTTAATCTTGGAATAAAAGTTGGTTTAGCCTTTTGGCTCTGGGCAATGGTATTTATTTATCGTTGATTATCTGGGCAACGGTTCACCCCGTTGATTTTATTTTTCTGCTTCACAACAATTGGTCCGACCTGCCGGATCCCGTCCCGCCGGAATGACGAGATCTATCAGTGAACATTTGTCAGAGATGGTGGTCAAACAAATTCGGATGAATCAAACTCTAGAGGAGCACGGCGTGCGTCTGGCAGAGATCGCCGCATCCTTGGCAGCGCTTACCAAGGTGTTCGTTCCGTCAATCACGACGGAAACAAGCCCTGACGCGGTTGGCAGCCCCACCGTATTTGTGCCCAGCAGCGACGGACAGCCGCGCAGCGTCACTTCCTCCTTGACTGCGCTCACAAAGACTCTTGCGCCGCCAGCGGCGGAGGAGAATTCATCGGCGATGGCTTCACTTGACGCGGCAGCAACATCCACGTTTGGAATTGGACTGTGCAACACTTCTCTCACGACGCTGCCCTCGTTTGACGGAGAAGACCCGATCGGTTGGGTTGCTAGGGTTGAGCATCAAATCGAACTGAGCTGTACTCCGCTGGGAAAGAAGGTGGCAGCCACTGTAGTTGTGATGGAAGGGTCAGCCGTGTACCGGTTGACCTCGTTACGGGCACGAAAGTCGGGCATGTCATGGGATGAGCTTACACAAGCATTGGTGGCTCGTTTTGACTCATGGTTTAAGGGCAATTGCTTTGAACGGCTGTCCGGAGGCAAGCAGACAGGGACTGTGGAGTACATCTCAATTTTTCCTAAAGATACTGGGCAGCAACCGGGAACAAATGTCAGCCGGTTTCCGGATTCCAACCTTGAGGACAAGGTTTTTTCGAAGGGGGATGGAATTGATATGAAGCAGAATCTAAGCTTGGAAGAAGAGGGGCAGAAGCCCCCGTGGGTTTACCGAAGGCGGGACGGGCTTGAGCCCACCTTCGTGGGCTGGTTGCGGGCTGTTTAATTAATATTTATTATTCCTTTTATTTTGTTTCCTAATTTAATTTGTTTTCTAGTAGGATTTATTTAGGACTTCTATTCTTATTAGAATTAGAGGTTTCCTATTTCTATTTAGTTTCCTAGAATGATTTAATTAGGAGTTCTATTAGAACTAGAGGTTTCCTATTCTATTTAGTTTCCTAGATTAATTTAATTAGGATTCCTATTCTTATTAGGCCTAGAGGGTTATTTATACCCCTTGTATGCTTCATTCTGGTTAATCTTGGAATAAAAGTTGGTTTAGCCTTTTGGCTCTGGGCAATGGTATTTATTTATCGTTGATTATCTGGGCAACGGTTCACCCCGTTGATTTTATTTTTCTGCTTCACAACAGTATTTTATAACTACTGAAGTCTGGTCTGGTCTCAGACTAAAAACGGTCCAAAAGAAAACAACCTTAGTCTATTACAAATATTATTTGATTATCTCTATGAATATAATTAATATAATAGTTGCAGAGCTCTGGAGGACAATAATGACTTTGGTATGGATTTCGATGCTGCATGATCTCTTTATTTCTCAACCCATCATGGGTCCATAGTCCATACACACACAAAGTATATGTGTTAGTATATGTGTTAAGGGGCTTATCTAGTCCAAGGTCGATGATTCTGAGAAGAACCAAAACAATATGAATCTATGGTGCCTTAAATATAATCAAATCCTGCCCTCGGCAAGGAGTTTGTCGCAGGTTCCACCATGTGCCAAATAAAAATTAATATTCCAAAGCTAATCTCATTATTCCAACTGATAAGCCTTAAATAGGCAAAAGACAAGTTTCCTAAAACAATAACAGGAAAGAAGTAATAAAGAAGCTCCTAAACTAGAATAAGGAAACCTGAATAAGTAAACTAGTATTAGACTCAAAGTAGGAAACTGATTTAATTATTTAAAATAGACTCAAAGTAGGAAACTGATTTAATTAACATACTGAGGACCACTCAAGTTGGTCTCTTTTTTGACCGCCTCTAGTAGACTCTTCCAAATCGACCCATATCATCACTCCCCCCTTGGACAACGAGCTTGTCCTCAAGATCGAAATCGGGAAAATTATCACAGAAGGAATCCAATGTTTCCCATGCAGCCTCTTCCAGTAGCTGTCCAGACCAGTGGACAAGGAGTTCCCAGCTACCCTGATATGGACGAGCCTTCAAAATGGACAGAGGGCGGAGTGGGGGTGGCAGGTTGTTCAGTTCTGGTAAGGTTCCCATTGTTGAAGGTGTGTTTACTCTGTGCGGCTTGAGTAAAGAGACAAGAAAGACGTCATGAATTTTGCTCGATGGAGGAAGTATCAGGCAATAGGCAGCTTTCCCAATAGCTTCCTTTATCTGAAAGGGGCCAAAAAACTTGGGTGAAAGCTTGTGAGTCTGCCTGATGAGTGACAATTGGCGATGTGGATGAATTCGGAGCCAAACCCAATCACCTGGGGTGAATGACAAGTCCCAGTGGCCCTTATTGTATTGAAATTTCATGCGTTCCGGAGCTTGGAGCAATCTGGTCTTGGCTATGGTGAGGATGGAGTCGCGGTCCAATAGTGCTTGGTCCACTACATCGAGCTTGGCCGTGCCGGGCGTGTAAGAAAGTAGTTTGGGCGGGTCACGACCATACACTAACCTGAAAGGAGTACCACCTAAAGTTGTATGGAAAGAGGTGTTGAAGCAATACTCCGCCCATGGAAGCCAACGAACCGAATCTCGGGGACAGTCGCCGGTGGTACAACGGTGGAACATTTCCAAGGTGCGGTTCACCACCTCAGTCTGACCATCTTTTTTAGGGTGGTAGGCTGAAGAAAATCAAAGTTGGGATCCACAAAGACGGAATAACTCACGCCAGAAGGAACTCACAAAAACTTTATCACGGTCAGAGACGATTGATTCTGGAAAGCCATGGAGGCGAAAAAATTCAAAGAAGAAGACTGCTACCACTGAAACAGCCGTAAACGGAAGTGCTAGTGTAATGAAATGAGCAGCCTTAGACAATCGATCAACAACCACAAAAACAACTGATTTTCCCCAAACCTTGAGCAATCCTTCGATGAAATTCATAGATATATCTGCCCAAATGTGATGAGGAATGGGAAGGGGCTGCAACAAACCTGCAGGCTGGAGGTTCAGTCATTTGTGTTGTTGACACACTTGGCAATCCCGTACATGGTCAGTGATGGTCTTTTTCATGCTAGGCTAATAAAATTTGCGACGCACCCTCTGTAACGTACTAACGTCTTAGCACTACCTTCATGGGCCATGGAGTGGGACAAATTGACTATAGTTAGAATTGCGGCAAAAGATTGCAGTAAGTACACTTTATATTGGAAAAACAGCAAGCCCTCTCGATATGCCCACTCGGTTCCCAAGGCACCTTCATCAAGCTGGCGTCGCAGAGCTCCAATTTCTGACAAGGCATTTTGCCCTTACGTATCCTCAAGCAATGTTGTATAAAGAATGGACAACGCTACTAGGTGAGGCTGAGACTCGTCACGGCGAGATAAGGCATCTGCAACCGTGTTATACCGACCAGGAAGTGTTTCAAGAGCTAGAATGATCTGTACGAATTAAAATTCTTGCCCCCAGAGGTACGGTCACCAATGGGTTACTGCCTTGGCCAACCCGATCAATTCCTGCTCGTATGTGGCTAATTTGATATGACGGTCCGCTATCTTGCGGTTGAAATACACGACGGGATGACCCTCTTGTTGCAAAACTGCCCCAAAGCCACTCCCTGAGGCATCACATTCAACGACAAATCGAATTGCAAAATTGGGCAGTTGAAGTACAGGAGCTGTGGCTAAGCAATGTTTAAGTGTGTTAAAGGTACCGGTGGCCTCCTCGATCCAATGGAATGAATGTTTCTTTAAGAGTTGTGTGAGTGGCAAGGCAACCTCCCCATAATTTTTGATAAATTTACAGTAGTAGCCAGTCAGGCCTAGAAACCCACGCAAGGCTGATGCGTGAATGATCCCTTGTTCCAACATTGCGGCGCGTTGTCACTCAAGCTCATCCTTTTGGAAGTATGGATAACGGTAGGGGCGTACCACAACCAGGCCACAACCAGGAATGTAATGCGATGATCGCATGGTCGTGGTGGTGGCAGACCGCGCGGTTCCTGAAATAAATCCTCGAAGCTGCAGAGAATGCCTTCTATGGGTGAATGCTCGCGTGAAGTGGGAAGTGCCATGTTTGCTGGTTTGCATTAGGTCGTTGGTTTGCCCTGCCATATGACGGTTGCACCCATCCAACGGAATTTCATAGACAGACTGAAAATTCCATACGATTGCGCCTAAGCCTCGTAACCGCTGGACCCCCAAAATCATATCAAAACCAGCCATGGAAAGAACATAAAAATCAGCATGGAAGGGAACTCCCAAAACCTCAAAAGTTAATTGAGGACAGCTACCCAAAAATTGATACAGAGGGAGTAGTAAAAAAGTAGATGTTGTAGGTCCTCTTGATTTTGACATACTTTTCAGCCACCCCTAAAAAATTGTTCGGGTTCCGCCACTGATTCTGAGAAGAACGAGAAAAATAGAAATCTATGGTGCCTAAAATATTAATCGACTCCCGCCCTCGGCAAGGAGTTTGTTGCAGGTTCCGTCGTGCGCCAAATAAAGATTAATATTCCAAAGCTAATCTCAATATTCCAACTGATAAGCCTTAATAGGCAAAAGACAAGTTTCCTAAAACAATAACAGGAAAGAAGTAATAAAGAGCTCCTAAACTAGTATAAGGAAACCTGAATAAATAAACTAGTATTAGACTCAAAGTAGGAAACTGATTTAATTAATTAAAATAGACTCAAAGTAGGAAACTGATTTAATTAATTAAAATACTGAGGACAACTCAAGTTGGTCCCTTCTTTGATCGCCTCTTGCCTAATCGACCCATATCAATATGATAGAGAACATAGTACCCTTAACCAACAAAGAAGAGGATTCCTACAATTGTCAGGACTGGGTAAATTTAGATACCAGCTTCAGAGTCATTAAGTCATTTTTAATATGCTTAAATTCGGAGTTTCACTACAGTTTCTTAATGAGAGCTGTAGGCCAGTGAGTTATCTTGCAACACCAGATTGGACCGCATCCATGGGATCATATATGATTCATAATATCATATTAGACCGAGGATACAACCAAAGAAGTAAAATTGTCAACAGACTGCTGCTGGAATGCTTTTTTATAAAGAAATTGCCCTAAATAGAATAAAAACGTTTGTGAGTTCTAAATAAATTGTTTATTGACAAGTTTAGAAAATAATAATGCCAAAACATGACAGTAATTACTTATATTTGAGAAATAAAAACATAATACTTTTATTTTGAAATTTCGAAACATTTTACTCCTATTTCGAGAATTTTCTTACTTTTGAAAACTTTCCTTTCCTAATCGTTGTCGGATCATATTAGCTTTCCTATTCTTGTGTGAAAAAATCCCAAGTTCTATGACTTTATAAATTAGTTAATACCGAGTATATGATATACTCATCTTCTTGGAACAATTTTTAAATACCAAATCCTTGTGCTGCCAAAGTGTTATTCCACAACATAATACTACATAAATTAATAGTAAAACTATAAAAAAATATTATTGTTATTATTACATTGACCGTAGTGGATTAGTAAGATTCAAATCAGAGCAAGAGAAGATTATGAAGGCAGAGTGTGTGAATGTGTGATGAAATCTTATCTGTTGACAAAGGCATGAAAGTTAAAAGGTAAGATAATACCATACATATTTGTCGTCGCTTCGCCGGCGGATTCAAAATCTGATAGCAGAAAAGAGAAAACCGACCAGCCGTTTCAGGGGGTTCAAATTCAACTCGAGGATGGTATTAATTACGACGACGAAGACAACGTTTCAGCGTTCGAAGATGGCTCAAACTCTTAGGGAGACGGGTAGTATAAGATATGTGAACCACCTGGCACTAAGGTGAGTTGTTATTACTCTCCACGTGGCACTAAGATGGTTCACTATTCTCTAGTCGAGAAATCATCTCATCAGGCCGGCCTGACGGGCTGCCCCGTCCGGCCGAGCCCGTTTGGGCACCTTCCCGGTAGAATTTTTTGATGAAATTTTTTGAGCATGTTCCTCATCAAGTCTAGTTTGTCCATACCAAATTTCAGCTCAAAATTCGATCGGGAAGGTCGTCAAATGATTTTTGCAAGTTAACTGGTCCGGAAAATACATATTCCGGACCAGTTAACTTGCAAAAATCATTTGAGGACCTTCCCGATCGAATTTTGAGCTGAAATTTGGTATGGACAAACTAGACTTGATGAGGAACATGCTCAAAAAATTTCATCAAAAAATTCCACCGGGAAGATGCCCAAACGGGCTCGGCCGGACGGGGCAGCCCGTCAGGCCGGCCTGATGAGAAGAGTACTCTTCTCTAGTCAACATAATAAATTGTCTTTTGAAACAAATAAACTTAAATTGATAACACATCTTTTAGATAGTAAGTAAATCGACAAAAAGACTTCCGCAAACCGTCGTTCCTCGAATCACACTCAGAGTTTATCACCTCGACAGAAGTAATATAACTCGTTGATCCATTAATGGGTACAAATGACCCAAAGACGGTTAACGCAGTTCTTCTATCACTCATATCCAAATCCACAGACTTACAACAGAAGACAAAAAACAAGCAAAAGTAAATAGCATGATCCAGACAATCAAAATAAATAAAAGCAAAAAAATAAAAGTCTTGTCTCAGCTTTCCTATCACCACCATCCTCCACTTCTGTGGCGGCGGTTCAGGAGGAGGTCGGACCAATAGTACTGTATCTTATTCCTCACCCCGCTCCGTGTTGATCAAGCTCTCTTTCATACCTTCACATTGCCAAACGCCAATCCTCCACTCTTTGAGTCGTGAAGCGACGGACAAGCAAGCCATGACTGACCACAATCTGCAAATTAAAGAAAGCAAAACAAAAACTTGCACACCCAACGCACAATCGAATCGGTGGCCTCTTTTCGTCTAGAATCTGTCTGTCACACCAAAGCCGACCTCCCTCTGTCGTTCGTCCGTCAAACAGCCGCAAGATTGGAATGCCTAAACTGCAGCACTCCTTCCAGCCGCCAGCCAATCCTCCTCACCGAGCTTCGCAAATCCAAGAAGAAGAAAACGCCGCTCCTCAACTAATGTCGATAGCGGAAAATTAACCCTAGTGGCTAAAAGCCCTAGGACGGCAACACCTAGCGGCTAAAAGCCCTAGGACGGCAACACCTAGCCCTAGGACGGCGATTGTAGGTTTTCTATTCCCACAAACTAAGAAGCTAAAAACACAAACTATCAATACGTTGGTTTGATCTCCTTGCAAACCTGCTCATCCGATGCGACACCACAATCGATCGATCCATCTTCGTCCAGGGCCGACGGCGCCCTTAGGGTTTTTATTCATGATATACTTAAAAAGTTAATTCTGGTCAAGATGAATTGTTATTAATCTCTTACTTTATATATTCAACTTTTTCAAATTTAATTTTTTCTTGATCAGGTATTACGGAACTTTAAATGTAGTTTCTGAATATGCAAATTTTATTAACTAAAAATAATCTTATTAATGACAGAGATCAGTTAACTTTATGGTCAGTCAAACATCGTAAACCGTGCGAGAACCTTGAAGTGGGACGGAGGGAGTATTTAACAAAAACCACGGCTTTCACTAGACTTACAAAAATGTCATTGGTTATATGGTTTAAGAGTACAACCGGCTGAACGGTATGGAGACACGAGTTTTTTGAAGGGATTTTTATGATGTGAAAGGACTTTTAGTTTAAAAATGTAACTATTTTAAAAGATTATTTACAAAAAAACAGGTATTAAATATCAAATCCTTGGTATTTAATTTTGTTAAATCAATTTTTTTTATATAAAAAAAATTGTCTGTATCACAGACAATTTAAATTGTCCGATCCGTGTCACGGACAATGAAGCACTTCTTTTGTACACGTCGGTCAAATTGTTTGTGTCATAAATAATTTTGTTTGTTTGTGCGAAAATCGGTTTTCTTCATAAAACGTCAGTCAAATTGTGTGTGTACTGACAATTTGACCGGTGTGTACAATAACATGTACAAACTTGCATGTACAAAGAGCATTTTTCTTAAATTCAACTTCTACAGGAATTACAATTCCAACTATTCTGACACAAGTTCCAATGCAAAATACCTATTAATAATTACAGAATACTGCTTATTCATACATCAACAACATACCTGGAATCATTGTTTGGGATATATGGAAACAATACGCAGAGCTCACTTGGGACTCAAATACTCATTCATTCAACTCTAACAAGAAAATCCACCGCATCAAACAATATTGTCAGGATTGGTCATGGGGATTTAAGAAAAGTTACAAGCTAGAGCACATTCGGTTCCTCAAGGATATCGAACTTATCCATCTTGCCTTCTCTACCCCCTTCAAAATTAAACTGGTGCAATGGATCAAGCCAAAAGAAAAAACTCAAAGTGAACGTAGATGCCTCTTTCATACCTCGCACCTCAAGGGATGGCACTATTCTCATAAATCAATATGGCTCTTTTACACTTGGTATCAGCTTCACCATTCGGGCGAAAAACCTGTTACAGGCAAAAATCCAAGCAATCCTCTTCACTGTCAATTGGATACTCAACATTCATCACTGAGTCCGACTCCCTTCTAGCCATATCCCAAATCAAGCACAATTCAGTTGATGCTGGAAACCGTTCTGCAATTCAGGAGCTCGGACTTTTGGCACTCAAGCGCAACATCACGTTCTCTCACGTGTAGAGACAAGGTAAAGAGCCGGCCCACCTTCTTGCCTCTTAGAGGAACTCAGACAGTCCATTCAAATTATTCATCAATAAATTGGATCTCCCTTCTTAAATAAGACGTGCCCTGACCGCAGACGAATGGAGCTTCCCTCTTTCCGTTTCTGATTGCTTACGTTCTCTGGTTTTATCTCTTGGGCTTATTGCATTTTAATGTTACTCTTTTTTTTTTCCTTTGGGTTAGGCTTATGCCCTAATCTTTTGATGTATTTCCTCTTTTGTATCTCAATAATAACCGGTAAGTGTTCTCTAGCGCTTACCCCACCGACTTAGGTGGTTTCCCTACCAGGTAAAAAAGAAATACAGAATACTGCCTTTACGAATACTTAGAAACAAAAACAATAATAATTACAGAATAAATACACGTTGAGATTGCAACACGTAAACTTCAGAATACATGTATCCTTTTGTTTCACTCTTTTAGCTAATCCATCAAAGCATACAAAAATGGTTGGGATGTGTAGCATGATCAGAGAAATCGACCATTCAAAGTCGTCCAAGGCGGTAAAAGTATGTGTTCTTTGAGTTTATTCCGTGTCAAACTACCCCCAATTATGTAGTGCATTTTACATGAATACATGATGCAAAGGTCAGCAACATGGATTCATATTATAATATTGATGATGACTAAATGGTAAGCTTAAAGTTTAAAAATAAATGTTTATATTTTTCTGTATCAGGGAACAAGAGTTCATGCACACATAAAAAATACCAGATATTGATGTTTAAGTCTATTTTAAGGAGGGCTTGGTATACGTCATTAGAAATTTTCATGGTTCAAGAGAACAATATGCCATTTAGGACTACAAGAGGTAGATACAAACGGCAGTTTTAAACAAATATGGAGGTCTTTAAAATTCAAAGATCAGAGAGAAAATCCCAAATAGAATTTTTTATTTTACGGATTTGCAGTGCTGAAGGTCCAAGATATCATTGATGAAAATGATTGGCATGATTAGTATATTTTTATAAAACTCATTTTTAATTTTTTTTCTTATACTAATCATTTTAAAATACTTCACGACATATGTTATCAGAAAGATTAACGATAATCCAGTAATGAAAACAGTTAAGAATGACACAACAAATGTGCTGCAAATACCGCTCGCTGATGCTGAGTAAGCGATCTGTTCTACCATCTGCAAGTACACGGTAATATCAGAGTTGAATTTTCATACGCAAGTTTGAATTTTGCAGAAATAATGAAATGACATGCACTCTCTTTGGCTAAATGATTGATCAAGATTTATTCAGCCTACAAGAAGACATTGAATCTCCCCACAGTATTGGTGTTACAGTGTTTTCATGCCAGGAACTACCAAGGTTACTTTGAAAATTTAACTATTCAAAATCAATTAAATTAAATATACCTATTATTCTTTACAAACTATTGATATTGACGGTAGTTTGTAAATAATAGGTTCGGTTTATATATAAAATTTCCAAATTATTCTTTACAAACTACCATGATGTGAGCAAACAGATGTGAATGGGGAGCAAGCAGAAGTATTGGAGTTCCGAGCAAGGCGTATGTTCTTCATTAGAATGGATGATAAATAATTTAATGCAATTACACAATAAACAAAACTTGCAATCAAAACATGCAAGTTGTAGAATAAGGTAGACAGACTTTCTGTGTATAGTTATGTTTGTTTTTTACTTTTCATTCTAATAATAACTCCAAATTTAAAATACCAATATTGGGCTTAATTATAGTAAATAACATAAACTAGATATATTAGTTTTGAGTATAAATTACTATTTATATTGAAGTCCTATGTTAAGTATATTGATGGTGAGCAATGGTCTCATTTATTTTTCATTTTAGTAATTTAAACTTAATTGGTAAAATGACAACTCAATGCAATGGACATTATATGGATATGAGCCAGTCTTTGACACATGGTTATTCTACTTATAAATATACAATAATATTTATCTCCATTCCTAAGCAGTGGTCTCATTTATTGAGTCATCATCTCTATGTTTAATTTAAATGTATTGTTTATTTCATAAATATGTATCTACATAATTCTTGATGAACTATGTGAGTTTTGTAACTTAATAAGTATCTATTGATTTAATAGTATTTCATTCTGAT